ATATTTGCTATTAATTTTACGACATATTAGATGGATTTTCCTATTTTGTTTATAACGGGGCAATAAAATCAAAATTTTCCAAAAACAATTAAGTTCTGCATCTACCTGCTTATTTTTGGGGAAACCCCCCACTCCAATTTTTAGCAACCTAAAATCATGATCGATGGTAACCTAAGGACATTTAGGAAGGAAACAAATCATTAGTTCTCCAGCAGACATCAGAGAAGCAGTGAAAACTTATTTACATCCAAATGTCTTATTCCAAAGTTACAGTTGAATCATCTTCGAAAAGTGGTAAAAGTGCAATTAGTCATAAATCGGGCGTCAGTTTCGGTGATTCTCTTACGATGTATGATGTATGCAATGATGGTAAAACATCACAATCTACTGAGGTCAAATCTGTACTGAAGAAAATAGTACCGACTAAACCGAAAAGTGCAAGTTCTAGTGCCAAGGAAAATAAATATTCAACGGATCCTAAGAGTAATAAGGACAAGGAAAACGAAGACAAGTCGAGGAAAAGTAGAATTTCAAAACGATTTGTAGAATTATTTGGCGATGATCTGTACGATATTGATAACCTTGAGAAGAAGGACAACAGAAGTGATAAGGAGAATATTAGTAAGTTGGGATCGAAACAGCCAAGAAATTCAAGCAAGGAAAACGAAGACAAGTCGAGGAAAAGTAGAATTTCCAAACGATTTGTAGATCTATTTGGCGATGATCTGTTCGATATTGCCAAGCCTGAGAAGAAAAATAACAGAAGTGATAGGGACAGTACAGTAAATCTAAGCAAGGAAAGCGAAGACAAGTCGAAGGAAAGTAGAATTTCAAAACGATTTGTAGAATTATTTGGGGATGATCTGTCCGATGTTGATAAGCCTGAGGAGAAGGAAAACAGAAGTGATAAGGACAGTTTAAGCAAGTTGCGATCAAAGCAGTCAAGAAATCCGAACAAGGAAAATGAAGTGAAGTCGAAGAAAAGGACTCACGAATCAGAGACTTCGCAGTTGGAACCGTCATGCAAAAAGCGTGCGGGTCAAGGGCTGACAGATATCGACATAAATGTAATGTTTGCCCAGACTGCAGTGAAGATATCGTCTAAAGTCGATATGAAAAATGACATGAGAAGATCCAAGGAGAAGTCGTCCAGGTCAGGACGTGATAGGCACGAGAAGCACCGTAGTAAAGGTGTCATATATTAAGAACAACACCGATTTTGTTATA